TTAAAAGATACATTCTTGTTAAAGGTTTCTGATCATTCATAGTAGGAAGGAGGCAGGTGGAGAAAAGAAGGCAAATCCCCACCAGCTGGTGCCTACGATCCTGACACATCCTACCTGCTCCTTCCTGTCCCTGGCTAAGCCTTTCTTTGTTCCCACATGCTCTTTCTGGTCTTTGCTGGTCATCTTTATAAAGCTAGCTTAACTGTCTCCTACTCAGTAGAGTCTTCCCCAACCCAGGGCTCCCACTCTGTGTTCCCAGGATTCTCCCCTGCTGGCCAAGTATTCTTGCACCATATACAATGCCAGACAAGTACCTGCAAGTAGGACTTTCCCTGAAGAGCTTTAGACCAGTGGTTCTCAACCTACTGGTCGAGACTCCCAACAAACCATTATCTTCAGAAATAGTTACATTACAGTTCACAACAGTAACAAAATTACACTTATGAAGAAGCAACAAAAACTAACTTTCTGATTAGGTGGTTGCCACAACTTGAGGAACAGTAATGTATTACAGAGTCTCAGAATTAGGAAGGTTGAGATCTGCTGCTTTAGACCATTATGCTGTAGACGGAGGAGCCATGAACAGAGAAGAGTCAGGGTTCTGATTTATATAAGTCTGCAAAATATTTGCCCCTAATCTGACCTTCTCATAGTCAGCACCGTACATCTCAAAATTGACCCCTTGTCGTAAGAAACTTAGAAATGGGGGGGGGGGCTGAAGACAGGCTGAACACAGGTTTAAGGATGGAGTTGAGAACCGTGCTTGCAGCCTGCACTTGACTGCATCCCCATCTTTCTCTTCTCCCCGACACTGCCCAGAAGAGAACTGAAGGTGCATGTGTGCTTTTTAATCTTTGGGAAAGACCTAGGTATTAGCCTGCATTCTCTGTTAGTTTTGGTAATGCTTTCTATAATATTGTCCTTGGCTTTTTTCTCTTGGAGTAGAAGACCTGCATAATTTAGGGGTTCATGTCATCTCTTCATGGGCATCAGGAAGGGGAGGGCATGGAGAGGTCTACTTGACATCATTGGCGCTAGGATGCTAGAATGTTTGAGACTGCTCTCCTTAGAAAAGCCTGTTTGCAAAGTTGGGTGGGGGCTGAAGTCTCGGAGTGCAGACTTCAGGACTGTTCTCTTCAACCTCTAAGGGCAAGCATAGCCACCAGGATTCCAGTCTTTGTATAAACAATCTAGTCTATGCAGAACGCCTGCTTTCCTTTGCAAGTCTAGAATTTTGTAATGAGACAGAGAATGGCTGCATGACCAAATCCCCCCAAAAGCTTTAGTATAGAGAAATGTGTCTCTAGCAGAAAATTCACCTTTCTCAACAATTCACCAATAGAGGACCCATGCTGAGATTCCAAAGGAGAGGGCTCTTGGGACCCAGCGCCCGGCTGTCTTTGGACTTGGTCCCTTGTGTTTCTCTTTTCCAGGTTTTCCTTGTTTATTCTCACTGTAAGAAGTTACAAGTATAACTGTATCCTGAATCTTGTAGAACCACCCAGGAGATCATCATACTCAGAGATGGCCTTTGGAGACTCCTAAAAAGGGAAGTTTTTAAGCATTCATGGGTTGTGGTGCAAGTTACAAGAAGTTCAGACCTTATCAAAAGAATACAGGTGATATCAGGACGCATGGGAGAGACACTATCTCCCCATAAAGGCAGGCAGGGTGTGTGACCTGGACAGTGGCATGCACTGTGCAAAGTGTCACAATAAAATTATGGAATGAAACCTGTAAGGTACAGGACAGTTGATTTTGTCCTGTACTGGAGACCTAACTATTTCCTACTATTAAAATGTCCAGAACACCAGGTGTGGTGGTGTACGCCTACAGTCTCAGCAGAGCCCAAGAGCATCCTCTGCACCCAGTGAATTCACAGCTAACCTGTGTGACATACCCTCCCACCACCACCACCACACACACCAAATCAGGTAACATCATGAATGAACTCAGGTAAATCTCTCTCTGCACTTGGTCTCTTCAATGGATTTACTCTGGCTCCCAGGAAAGCCATGGTTTCTTTCTACTGAGAGCAAGCAGAGTGTCTGCTTTAAGAATGCAAGTCAAGGGGTCAAGGGACCAGAGAGGTGACTGGCTCACTTCTGTTTCTCTGTATCATTCCTAACTCTGTTTTGTTTGTTTGTTTGGTTTTGGTATGGTTTTTGGAGACATGGTCTTTCTATATAGCCCTCACTATGTAGATCAGGCAGGTCTCCATCTCTTGGAGATGAGCCTGACTCTGCCTCCCAAGTGCTGGGATTAAAGACACATGTTACCACACTTGGCCCTAGCTCCCTATTTTGCAAACAGTAATTGGATAATAAATTGATATGTGTGGGGCTGGTGAGATGGCTCACAGGCCAAGGTCACTTGTTCTTCCAAAGGCCCCCAAGTTCAGATTCTACTACCTACTTCAAATGACTCACGAATGCCTGTAACTCTAGCTCCAGGGGATCTGACACCCTCTCCTGGCTTCAAGTACTCACATGCATATAACAGACACCCTCTCTCTGTGTCTCTGTGTGTGTCTCTGCCTCACACATATAATATACACCCCCCCCGTATGTGTGTGTCTCTGTCTCACACATATAACATACACCCCCTCTCTCTGTCTCTGTCTCTCTCCCTCATACACACATATTTTTTTAAGAGAAAAAATGCAGGCCAGATGAAAGAAGGGCTAAGTGATGATGGCTTGCATTTATTCCCAGGGTCCCCTGTCTTTTCCTTCTTCCTTATGATTCACTTTGATCTTAAAATTACAAAATGTACTTGTCAATGGGAGACTATGTTCTACTCTACCAAAGAATTTATTTCGTTTTAATAGAACAGCCGTGTGTATTCCAAACAAGAGCCACATCTGATCCTGTAGGCAACTCCTTACTTTTTCAATTCACAAAACATTTTTAAAAGACAACACCTCATTTGATCCTCATAACAACACAATAAAGTAGATTTGACTTTTTTTCTTCATTATGGAGGATGAAATGCAGAGCCTCATGCATGCTCGCCAAACGCTCTACCACGGAGCTCCATCCTAAGCCCAACAAGACAATGGGGCTTTCATCTCCCATGGCACGGAAGGCGCTGTGACTTGGCTGGCTGGCTGGCTACGGCTTTAGAAAAATGAGAGCTTTATAGAAACGAATAATCCCTGAAATCTCGCCATGGAGGAACAGGTTAAAAGGCAAGGCAGGCGTTTGGAGGAATTATTAAGATCACAAATTAAGTCACTTCTATGGACTCCATAGCAGGAAATAGATTTTTAATGAGGAAATTGGAGCTAATACGTACCAGCTGTCCCGTTACTCACCGACGAGTATTAAGGCAGATTAAATTATTAATGGAAACTATAGCAGCTTAGAAGCTAAACCTTCCCGCATCCCCTCCTTCCTCTCTCTTCTCTCCTGGTTCGACATTGCCGTTAGGAGCTGCGCAGCCAGCCAGACACAGTTTGTAACAATCACCTGCCTTCCTACCCAGTAGCTGTGGTGTCTGCCCAAGTTGCTGACCCTTGCCTTGCAGCTGTGGAACGGGGAGGACAGAGAATGCGCAGAGGATTAAAGGAGGCCGGAGAAGTAGCACGTGCAATGACCGGCTTGAGGCAAGCTATTAACAGGAGCAGAGGTTCTTGCAATATGGGAAGAAGGTGGGATCGGGAACTACTTATTGAACTAATAACAAAAGTGAGTATTCAGACTGTCCACACCATGATAGCTATTCAAATTCTTTTTTTTTAAAGATTTATTTATTTATTATGTATACAACATTCTGCCTCGATGTATGCCCGCACGCCAGAGGAGGGCGCCAGATCTCAGTACAGATGGTTGTGAGCCACCATGTGGTTGCTGGGAATTGAACTCAGGACCTCTGGAAGAACAGCCAGTGCTCTTAACCTCTGAGCCATCTCTCCAGCCCAGCTATTCAAATTCTTAAGATCCTTGAAAATCCTATGATAAGTGAGAATGGAGTTGCTGGCCAGGGCACTCTGCAGACGGCTACTGTCCCAGCTATCCTGGCTTCTCTGCTAAGATGAAACTCTTATGACCTCACTACTCTCTCCTTTGTGGTACATCACATTGAGTGTTTACTCTATGGAGTAGCAAGGAGCCTCCCCAAACACCTACTTCCTTGGCAGCCATAGACTCATGAGAAAAAGAAGAGATGTTGGTGAGGCTAAGGATATGGCTCATTGGTAAAGTGCTGGCCACAAAAGGGTGTGTAACGTATGCTTGTAATCCCAGTTCTGGGGAGACAGAAACAGAAGGATCCTTGGGGCTTGCTAGCCAGCTAGAATAGCCAAATCAGTGAGCTCCACATTCAACAAGCTCTTGCCTCAAAACACGAGGAGCTGGCGAGACAAATCAGCAGCTAAGAGTATATACTGGTCCTCCAGAAGATTCAGGTTCAGTTCTCAGCACCCACATCAGACAGCACACAGCTGTCCGGTTTCAAGGGACCCGATGTCCTTTTCTGGCCTCCATATGCTCTGGCACCTACATGATGTATATAAACTCACAGAGGCCCACACACATACACAGAAATAAAAATAAATAAATCTTTAACAAGAAAAGAATAAATAAATATTAAGGTAGAAAGTGGATGAGCAAGGCATGTGACACAGGCATCTGCTCTAAACATACCTGTGCAACCACATAAGAAGGTGCAAAATATAATCACTTTGGCATATACTACTGATACTTTCAAAGTTGTTATCCTGAAATAGGCAATTAATAATATTGCTATTACAAGATTATTGATGTGATTCTATCAGTTATGTACAATTTTTTAAAGCATTAGCTTTATATACATACATACATACATACACACACACACACACACACACACACACACACAAGCAACACATATGGGTAAATACATGGAAAGAAAAGAAAGAGGAGATTGGGCCCCCTTAATCTTCCATGTACTGGGTGACAACTGACCAGAAATTAAGAAAACAGCTGCCTGCAAGCCCAGACTGAGGTTTGTGTACTCACGTCGGTGTTGCACAGTTTGTACTGCCGATAGGCCCCAATGCACGAGATGGCTGTAGACCGCAGATGCTGGGGAAAGGCCTGAGCTGAGCCCTGGGGCCTGGGACCGCCGTTGCTGCTCATTTCCGGACTGTGGTAGAGACCCGGAGCTGCAGGATAGCTTTGCTCATGAGTCAAAGGCAGCTGATAGATAGAGGCCTCAGAAGCCGGCAGTCCAGAACGAGGGCCGCTTTCACTTTGGTAGAGAGGTCCACTGTGGGAGAACTGGTGGGCTGGTGGCCTGTATCCCTGCCTAGAAGTAGAAGCCTCCTGGGATCTGGAATGTCGGGATGAAGGTCTTTGTCTCCGAAGCCTCTGCGGAGTATGCGTGGTATCTGTCTGCAGTGGTAAGATGTAGGGAGCCTTCCCATAACCGTACTTGCCAGGGCCGATGGGACCTCGGGTCCTGCTCCTAAAGACAGGCACACAACAAAGACCAGCAGAGTCATGTGAATTTCTATCGCGACTCAAGAGCCCAGAACAGACATCATGGAAGCCAGAACAGAAGCTCCCTAGAGACTGACGTAGAACAGAGGTAGAAATCAGTGGTTGGATGACCTGCAGGTAATGTGAGAGATTAGAAACCAAGTTAAAATCACAAGAGGTGGTCAGTGTAAGCTCACTGCACAATGATGCTTAGGCTGTGGTCAGTGTAAGCTCACTGCGCCGTGAAGCTTGGGCTGGGGTCAGTGTAAGCTCACTGCACCGTGACGCTTGGTCCGTGGTCAGTGTAAGCTCATTGCACCGTGACGCTTGGTCCGTGGTCAGTGTAAGCTCATTGCACCACGATGCTTGAGCTGTGGTCAGTGTAAGCACACTGCACCATGACGCTTGGGCTGTGGTCAGTGTAAGCTCACTGCACCATGACACTTGGTCCGTGGTCAGTGTAAGCTCATTGCACCACGATGCTTGAGCTGTGGTCAGTGTAAGCACACTGCACCATGACGCTTGGGCTGTGGTCAGTGTAAGCTCACTGCACCATGACACTTGGTCCGTGGTCAGTGTAAGCTCATTGCACCACGATGCTTGAGCTGTGGTCAGTGTAAGCACACTGCACCATGACGCTTGGGCTGTGGTCAGTGTAAGCTCACTGTACTGTGGGCATTTCTGCAGGTCTTAGGAAGCTAAGGGATTCCTGAGACCTGCAAAGATATAGTTGCAGCTTCAGCAACAGTTACTTTCCCATTCACATTTTTTTCCTTATAATGAATTTTTTTTCTCACTCAACTGTGAATTTCTCATGATCTCTATGGCTGTATGGATCCTAAAAGCATTTTTGGGTAGGTGGAGCTTTGCCTAAACCATGACATTCTACTATAGTCTGAGACCTAACTTGCCTTGACCTTAAAAGATAAGCAGGGACAATTGCAGTGGGTTTTTGATCCTACTGCACGTACTGGCTTTGTGGGAGCCTAGGCAGTTTGGATGCTCACCTTACGAGACCTGGATAGAGGTGGGCAGTCCTTGGGCTTCCCACAGGTCAGGGAACCCTGATTGCTCTTCGAGCAGATGAGGGAGGGGGAATTAATCGGGGGAGGGGGAGGGAAATGGGAAGCGGTTGTGGGGACGAGGCAGAAATCCTTAATAAATAAATAAATTTAAAAAAAAAAAAATGAAAAAAAAAAAAAAAAAAAGATAAGCAGGGATTAAGCGACTGTCGACCATCCCACAATTCCTGAGGAGACCTATGCTACGCAATGAGTTGTCCTCATGCTGGCATGAGTCTTTAGACTTTGTAAAGATGCGCTGCCTTCTGAGACCTTGTGAAAACACACATGCAGTGGTTATGCCCATAAATGTTTAAACTGCATTTCTTGACATCAAAAGGCACTGATTTGAAGCAATTGCCAACTTCTATGGTATAAATACTCCCATCGTGTCCAATTTCATGCCACTAGTAGGAAGATAGTCAGTCCTTACAAGTCCCCAACCTTCTCACTGGTAGAGAACACCCTTCACGTGCACGAGGCTCGGTCTCCATTCTCAGTACCAGCGCTGCAAAGGGAAATCAGAGCCAAGCCCAGAACTGCCTGTCGAGTTACTTAATTAGCTTTTAATTTTTCTTGTGGGGAGGGCAGAAGAGGTCATCAGATCCTCTGGAGCTGCAGTTACAGAGGGTTGTAAACTGCCAGATAGGGGCACTGGGAACTAAACTCAGGTCCTCTGCAAGAGGAGAGGCTCTCCAGATCTGAACATGGCAATTTGTTATGCAAATACTGTGGACACAACCCAGAGCTAGGAATGGTGCAGAAGACCAGAAGGGAACCAGGCACGTGTTCCAGGACCCCAACCTCACAACCAAAAGCAACAAGAGCAGAATGCAGGCCAGGGTGAGAAGCTGAGAAATAATCTACTTCATTGTGTCTGGGGGAAATTCGGAGGCAACAGGAAACACACATATCCGAGGGATCTGAGAAGGAGTCCTGGCCATTGAGAGGAGGGACTCCCAGCATTCACTACTCTGCAGAAAGACTTAAGTAATTCAATTCTTATTTGAGGAATGAGTAAACTGGATTAAATGACCGCCAAGGTTGCTCCAACTCTAAAATTATATGCTTCCATAATAATTAATTCTACATTTATGTAAAACTGGAAATGTGCCCAAGGGTTTCTGCAGGATGGCCCCATTAAAATAAGCACATTAAAATAGCAATCAAGGTGAAACATTGATTTTTGCCCTCCTGGGGAAATTCTTTCTCCACTCTATATAACCATGAATATAAAACTTAACAGAGCACAACTAATTATTAACATCTTTATCACTAATTGCACCTCCATTCTTGGCTGATATGGTTTTGAATTAAACCAAGCAGCAGTATTTATTTTACCTTCAGGCATTTCTCAATTAATCTTGGCAACACTTGGGACTCAGTTAATGGTGGAGGCTTTAACAGATGCCACTAAGAAGTAAGTCTTAGAATACATATAGGACTTGGACCCAATTTGCCTCTTTCTTTCTTGTGGCAGGCCAGGTAAAATGAATGACATCATAGGAAGGCAAAGGAAGGAATTTTGGAGTGTGTATGTTTTTTAAGTTCTGAAAGCCTACCAAAATGAAAATCTAGCCCCAAAGTAAGTGCTCAGTGTAGACTCTAGCTGAAGGTAATGGAGAAACCCAGATAACTGGGGTAGAACATCTCACAATTGCTGGTGCCTAGGACCTTGTTGAGATGCAGGTTCTGGGGGGCAGAGGGAGCTCACTTGGTAAAGTACTTGATGTACAAGCATGAGAAGCTCAGTTGCCCCCCCCAAGGTACCAACAAAAAAGCTGGCCTGCTGACCAGCCAGTCTAGCTGGCCCAGTGAGCTCCAGGTTCATGCAGAGACTTTATCTAAAAAAGTAAGGGGGTATGTGATTAAGTAAGACAGCTAACTTTGACCTCTGGCCTCTTCATGTGAGTGTACATGCACACACACACACACAAACACACACATACACACACACACGTAGGGGTGCACTTAAGTTTGCGAGATCTGGGATGGAGCCTGAGACCCTGCATTTCCAACAATCCCCCAGGAGGGTCCGTGCCACTGGTCCATAGATCCACAGCTTTGAGGAACAAAGTCACAGAACTGAACTAAACTGACCCTCCAAAGGGGTCAAAAATTAAGATCAGAAATGATTGGTGTTAGTGAAGAACGAGAGAGCGATGGTGGTGAAACAAAAAACAGCCCTCTGCGTCTGGGGCCCACGGTAAAGGCCTGCTTGCCTGTGCCCAAGCTGCCTGCTGTCACTCACTCAGCACACACTGATGAAGCCACGCCTGCTTAATGATGCTCGTGGGCCGCAGAGAGCAGCTGCTGAGATGGATGACGATGGAAGCATCTTCCCCAAAGCAGAACCTCACCCCGAGGGTGAGACACACATACAAATGTCTAGTTTCAGAATCGCACTGTCTTCAGTGGTGGAGTGGGAGGAGAGTGGAGGGGGCTCTTCACAATGCTCTAAAACCATTCAAAATATCCCAAAACCGCCCCACCTTTGGAAAGACAACGATGTGAAAGCATTAAATGCTAGTTTTATTTTGAGAAACAGATTACAATGAGCAAGCAAGTCAGACATGATTGTGAGCAATTTGATTTCTGAGGCCTTGACTCCTAAAGCGGGGGTAACAGCAAGAGTCACCCCCACTTGGCTGGGACAGCATTTATTTCCTTGTGACCCATCAGAGCAAACAATCTTGGTGGTTCAGGGTGGCCTCTTCCTCACTAAGACAGGGACCATCTGGCCACTTGCGGGGGGCCTCGGCAGAACGGGGTAAATTTACACAGTGTTGTGACAATAAGCACAGATGCGGCCATGGGGCCCCACGTGGCTGTTTAACCCTTCTAGGAGAGCACGCAGCAGCTGCCGAGGGGGATGATAAGTTGGCTTACTCTTAAGCCTTGTCAGAACCAAGCTGTGGAATTTTCCTTTAGGAATTTCACTTGACAAAATTTTGGCTAATTGTTAAAAGTTAAGCAATGTGCTGGTTGGTTCTAACCGCCATCTCTGCAGCATCTGGAGTCACCTGGAGTGGCCAGGGAAGAGCAGAATTAAGTAGGTTAGACTGGCCTGTAGGCATGTCTGTGGGGATTGTCTTGTTAGTTGGTATAGGAAGACCTAGCCCATGGTGGGTGGCACCATTCCCTAAGCTGGGCCCTGACCGATGCAAGAGTGGAGAAGGCTGGCTAAAAGCAAGCCAGCAGGCAGCTTGGATATACTCATCTCTATTTGTTCCTGTAAGGATTTCTTCCTACCTTGACTTTCCCACAATAATGGACCATCACCTGGACCTGTAAGCCAAATAAACCCTTTCCTCCCATGCGGCTTTTGGCCAGGGTATTTATCACAGACATGAAACCAGAACCAGCAATAAGTTACAGTTCAGAGACCAGAGACGTGAAAGCTACAATACCGCAGTGGTCTAAGATAGACACCCCTGACACCAAGAATCACGAGTGAGAACCTCAGCTCTGCCACTGGTGAAAAAGAGGGGCACTGAATAAGCTACTCCATCCTGGTCCCCATTTACTCCTAATGGGGATAGAACCAGGTCACTGCCCAGTGAAGTACTAGGATGTGACATTTCACTCTCCAGGGCAGGCAAGTGACAGCTAGAGCCATTAGTAATAATATTTTTTTTATTATGTTCCATGCCGTTAATCTCTGCCTCACTCCAACCCCCGTGCTAAACCCATACTCACTTATAAAGATGGCATCACAGTTTGAGCATCCTGACTATACCACAGTCCTGATCATCAACCCCAATGCCTGACTCTAAACCAGCCTGTGGGGAGCAAGTAAATCTCCTAGGGTCACAATTAGCTTGTGATTTGTCGAGGGGATGAGTCTGCATTTGTTACAAGCCCCTTGGTGTCAGTCATGCAGTAGCTGAGGGCTACACTTCAACGGTAGCTCCTAGGTACTGCC